GTGAGATCATGACCTGAGCTGAAGTCGGACGCCCAACCGACTGAGCCACCCAGGCGCCCCAAAATAAATAAATCATTAAAAAAAATTTTTTTAAAAAGCAATATCTTAATCAGAAGTATACTTGATTGAGGTGCTACAACATGTGCACAATCCCTTAGAATTTCTAATAAAAACCTAACTAAAAAAAAAATTGAAACATAAAAAAAAATTTAAGATGAGTAAGTAACAAAACATAGCCAGAGAAAACTTTTAGAAGATTCATAAACCTGCTTTAGAAAATAGAGACAAATGATACTTGTGCTATTAAGGACTTTCTAAAAATAAAAATATCTTTCCAAAAAGCAAACATGATACCTGACAGTAGGTGTGTGTATATGTGTATGTGTGTGTGTGCATTATAATAATGCAATAAACAGAATTTTCAAAAAATAATTTGAGGGGTGCCTGGGTGGCTCAGTCAGTTAAGAATCCGACTTTGGCTCAGGTCATGAACTCATGGTTTGTGGGTTTGAGTCCCGCGTTGGGCTCTGTGCTGACAGTGTGGTGCCTGGAGCCTGCCTCAGATTCTGAGTCTCCCTCTCTCTCTTCCCTCCCCCGCTCATGCTCTCTCTCTCTCAAAAATAAATAAACATTAAAAAATTTTTGTTTGAATAATAATTTGAGGGGGCACCTGGCTGGCTCAGTCTGAAGAGCATGTGATCCTTGATCTTGGGGTTGTGAGTTTGAGGGTATATAAATTATTAAAAAAAATAAACTTTAAAAAAATAAAATCTTTAAAAAGGTAATAATTTGAACACAGAGGTATAATTAGTATTTGATCCAGTATTTAGAACCAGCTATTGGACATTCTCTCAAAGGCAAAGACAATGTCTTATTTATCCCAATGACTAGCACATAGCTTGGTTCTTACCAAACGATGAAGAAATATTTAATGGATGAAAATTTAAGGATAGAAAGTTGTTTGACAAACTAAAACTTTAGATTCAACTTCATCTTGGCTATACTACAGAAAAATGTTTTGACCAACATGAATTTCTATACCCAGAGTATATTTTTCTATACACAAGATGTTGTAGGTTATCTTCGTCTTTTGATTCAAGTACTTAGATATATAATGAACTTAATAGAAAAATCAAAGATACATATATGCATATGCAAATTCATGAAGTACAAATAGTATCTTAAATCAATGTGAAAAAGATCTTTTTTTAATGTTTATTTTTTGAGAGACAGCCAGAGCATGAGTGGGGGAGGGGCAGAGAGAGAGAAAGAGAGAGAGAAACAATCTGAAGCAGTCTCCAGGATCTGAGCTGTCAGCGCAGAGCCCGACATGGGGCTTGAACTCATGAACCGCGAGATCATGACCTGAGCTAAAGTCAGACACTTAACTGACTGAGCCACTCAGATACCCCGAAGTTTCTTTATTTAAAGAGAGACAGAGAGAAAGAATGCATGTGGGGGAGGGGACAGAGAGAGGGAGAGAGAGAGAATCCCAAGGAGACTCCACACTGTCAGTGCAGAGCCCAATGCAGGGCTCAAACTCAGGAACTAGGAGATCATGACCTGAGCCAAAGTTGGATGCTTAACCAACTGAACCACCCAGGCACCCCTAAAATTACTTTTTAGTAGTCTGTTAAAATATAACACGATGCTTGAAGGATAATGAAAAAAAGTTTTCATATTTTACCATTTTGTTCTGCAACAGCTCCTAATGTATATAAGGCTGCTTCTTTTACCATGCTATGTTCACTTGACTTTGCAAGATTTCTTACAAACATCAAACCACCAATTTCTCGAAAGTAAACACCTGCATTACCTACAAGATGTGCAGACAAAACAGAACATAAATGATACTATGATTCTTTTAAGGAGAAAATAAATCACATGAATATAGTAACATAACAAGTAGAGTGAGTTGAAGAAAAAGAGCTATGCATATTTCATATTTCAAAATACTAAAGAACTACAATCACAGATAAAACTTCACTATCACATCTTACTGTTTTGTTGACAAATTGAATGAATAGTGACCAAAGCTTCCTTTTGTGAAAAAGGGTTGTCCATTTGATACTTCAGACACTCCAATAGTAAGTTCAGATCAGTCTTCATTTCTAAAGAACAAAAATTTCACTTTTTTAAACCAAGTGTTATCTTTCAAAAACTAACCATTTAAATTTCACTTTTTAAATTTCACTTTTTAAATACATATATTTATCATGTCTGTTTTCAAGATAATGAGTACATATTCCTTTTATAATCTATCCAACAGTAAAGATAAAAAAAAAAAAAAGAAAGATGTTGCTTAAATAAAAGTACTTGAAATGAACTTCTTGTAATTATTTGATTTTCCCCTCACATGAAATATAAGAATAGAAAATCCATGGGGTGCTTGGGCGGCTCAGTCAGTTAAGCATCCAACTTCAGCTCAGGTTGTGATCTTGCAGTTTGTGCCCCAAACTGCACAAACCCCGCGCAGACTCTGTGCTGACAGCTCAGAGCCCAGAGCCTGCTCCGGATTCTGTGTCTCCCTCTCTCTCTCTCTCAAAAACAAATAAAACATTAAAAAAAATTTTTTGAAGAACAGAAAATCCAAATGCAGTATTATTCTCTTTAAATAAAGCTACACTGGTTTAAATATCTGCCATTTAGAAATAAAGTGAATGAAAATGAAAATACAACATATTAGAATTTGTGGGATGCTACCAACAGTATTTGAGAGGAAATTTACAACACTAAATGTTTATATTATAAAAGAAGAAAGGTCTCAAATTAATGACCTCAGCTTCAACCTTAAGAAACTATAAAAACAGTAAATTAAACCCAAAGTAAGTAGAAGGAAGGTAATAAAGATCAAAGCTAAAATCAATGATACTGAAAGCAGGAAAACAATACAACTGGTTTTTGAGAAGATCAATAAAACTGAAAAACCTCTAGACAAACTGATCAGGAGAAAGGAGCAAAGACACAAACTACAAATATCAGAATGAGAGATAAGGCACCATCATAGATTCTATAAATATTCAAAAGATAATGTTATGTGCAACTTCATATCTATAGATTCAATGGCTGAATGGTGAAGTGGACAAGTGAAATTAACAAATTGCTTTGAAGATACAAATTATCTCACCCAAGAAGAAACAGACAACCTAAATAGTACTACATCTATAAAAGAAATTGAAATCGTAGTTTAAAAACCTTCCTGTGAAGAAACCTCCAAGTTCAGATGGCTTCATTTGTAAACTCTCCCAAATGTTTAAGGAAGAAGTAATATCAACTCTACATAAACTTTCCCCAAAAGTTTGGAGAGAAGGAACGCTTCCCAACTTGCTCTATGAGGTTAGCCTTATCCTTATACCGAAACCAAAGCCATTAGAAAGGAAAAAAAAGAAAACTACAGACCAATATCCTTCATGAACATTCATGTAAAAAGTCTAAACAATTTTAGCAAACCGAATCTAACAACATATTAAATAATAATACATCATGAACAAGTGGGTTTATCCTAAGAATGCATAGTTGGTTAAGATTTGAAAAGTCAATTGATGTAATGTGATAAACTAACATGGAAAGCCATATGATCACCTCAATGAGGTGCAGAATAAGCACCTGCAGAAATCAAAGCACCTGCATTTTATCAAATGCAGAAAAAGCATTTGATAAAATCCAACACTCATTTCTAGTTAAAAAAAATTTCAGCAAACTTGGAATAGAAGAAAAACTCCTTCCTCAACCTGAAAAAGTATATCCACAAAAACAAAACAAAACAAAACAAAAGCCCTATAGTAAACATAATACTTAATAGAGAAAGACTGAATTCTTTCTCTCTGAGATCAGGAATAAGACAGAGATGTTTAACATTATACTGGGGAGTGTATCATTCTATTTAGCATTCCTCTTAATATTGTACTAGAGAACCTAGCCAGTGCCATCAAGTGAGAAAGAAATAAAAGGCATTCAAATTGGTAAGAAGGTAGTAAAACTATCTGCCTTCATGTGCAACATGATCTTCTATATAGATAACCCGATGGAATCTACAAAAAAGCTACAAGACTAATAATGGAGTATAGTAGGATTTCAGCATATCCATTTAACATACAGAAATCAATTATATTTCTATGTCCCTGCGGTAAAGTAATTGGAAATTGGTGTTTAAAAACAATGCCATTTATAATAGTATCAAAAATATGAAATAATTAGAGATATACCTAACAAAAGATATAAACAACATGTATACTAAAACCTCAAAAATATTGCTGAGAATTATTAAACAAGACTGAAATAAAGGGAGTGAAACACCTTTTTCATGGACTGGAGGACTAAATATTAAGATGTCAATTCCCCCATATTGATCTATAGATTCAATTTAATCCCAGCAGACTTTTTAAAAATATGAATTGACAAGATGAACCCAAAATTCATATGGAAATGCAAGGGACCTATTAGCCAAACAATTCTGAAAAAGAAGAATAAAGCTTGAAGACTAAAACTACCTGATTTCAAGACTTCTTATAAAGCTACAGTAATCAAAAGAGTATAGTATTGTATTAGCATACACAAATAGATCAATAAACTAGAATGCAGCCCAAAAATAAACTCATGCATATATGAATAGCTGATTTTTTACAAAGGCACAAATGCAATGCAGAGAAGAAAGGAAAGCCTTTCCAACAAATGATGCTATAACAAACAGATATCTGTATTCAAAAACATAACAAACCAAACTTGAATCAAACCGTATACAAAAAGAAACTCAAAAGGGATTCAGATGTAATGTAAAATATGGAACTATAAAACTTTTAAAAGATAACACAGGAGAAAAACTTTGCTACTTGGGCTTACATGAAAATTTCTTAGACACAGTATTATTAATACAATCTGTAGAAAAATAATGAATAAATTGTATTTCATCAAAATTTAAAACTTCATTCTCTTAGCAGTATTTTCCTTTTAAAAAAAATTAATGTATTTATTTCTGGGGGAGAGAGAGAGAGAGAAAGAGAGAGACAGAGCACAAGCAGGGGAGGGGCAGACAGAAAGGAGAACACAGAAACTGAAGCAGGTTCCAGGCTCCGAGCTGTCAGCACAGAGCCCAAAGCAGGGCTCAAGGATGCAATATTTGGCAAGGATGCAAAAGAAGTGGAACTCTCATATATTGCTGGTGGATACATAAAATGGTACAGCCACTTTGAAAGTTCAGCAGTTTCATAAATTGTTAAACATACACCTACCATTTGATCCAGCCATTTCACTCCTAAGAATTTACCCAAAAGGAAAGCAGGTTATGTGTCCATACAAAGACTTGTACACAAATGTTCATGGCAGCATTGTATGTAATAGCCAAAAACTGAAAACAACTGAAATGTCCATCAACAGATGAATGGATAAACAAATGACCATAAAATGGAATACTACTTAGCAATAAAAAGGAATTAACTATTGATATACACAACAACATGGATGAATCTCAAAATAATTACGCTGAGGGAAAGAAACCACACACGAAGAATATGTACTGTATTATTCCATGTACTGAAAAAAAAATTAAACTACTCTATAGTAACAGAAGGCAGATCAGTGGTCGTTTGGGGAAAGTGGGTCAAGGAAGGGACGAAAAGAAGTATTATAAAGGTGCATGAGGCTATATTCCCTATCCTGATTGTTGCTACTGTTTGCATGGATGTGTGTGTGTGTGTGTGTGTGTGTGTGTGTGTGTGTGTGTGTGTGTGAGACTTATCAAAATATAAACTTGAAATATTTATTTGCAACTAAAAATGAAAGATAATCATTTTCCCATAAAATTTTTTACCATACCCTTTAAACAATTTCTTCTCTTGGTTTTAAGGATTTTAAGTTGTATGTAGATTTTGACATAATGCTTGAATTAACATTTAAAGTTCTCAAAGATAGGGGCACCTGGGTGGCTCAAGTTGGTTAAGTGTCCAACTTTGGCTCAGGTCATGATCTCACGGTTCATGGGTTCAAGCCCCGGGTCGGGCTCTGTGCTGACAGCTCAGAACCTAGAGCCTGCTTCAGATTCTGTGTCTCCCTCTCTCTTTGCCCCTCCCCCGCTCATGCTCGCTCACGTGCTCTCTAAATAAAATAAAAACATTAAATAAAATTTTAATAGAAAAATTTTTTTCAAAAAAAAAATAAAGCTTTCAAAGATAAAGAATGAAGACAGGACAGAAGTACAGAGGAACACACTAAAAGAAACTTAGATTTATTGTCAATATTTAGTCTTCCTCTTAAAGGAAATTCAACTGACAATTTGGTTTAATGAAATAATTCATGACCCAATTTGTTAGTGAAAAACCATAATACAAAGGTTATCACTAAGTTGCCTTGAAGCAACAGCAATCATTTATTGATCTTATTCTACATTAATAGAAACTGTAAAAAGGTTAGCTTGCCTGTATGGGTTATCAATAAACCTCTCATCAGCAACAACATGCCAAACAGGATTTTTGATGGAACATAGTGATTTTCAATTCTAGGCACAATTGAAGAAAACAAGAAACTTCTTTATGTATTCCTCTATTCTCTCCTATACTCCCCTCTCATATTTTGATACTTTCTATTATAATCCCTCCCTTCCCAAAGCACCTAATGACATCAACAATTCAAGTTTTATCTTCCCCAGGCTATGAAACCTAGTTTCTTCAATAATTCCTGAAGAAAATAAACAAAAACTCAAGAATATACACAAAAGCACAAGCAATAAAAGAAAACTGGATAAATTGGACTTAAAATTGAAATTTTTTGAGCTTCAAAAGATATCATTAAGAATGTGAAAAGATAATTCACATATAAGGAAGGGAAGAATATACCTATAAATAAGGTATCTGATAAGGGGCTTGTGTTCATAACATATAAAGAACTCTAAAACCTCAATAATAAAAAGATAATCCAATTAAAAAGCAAAGAATGGACATTTCTCCAAAAAAGATACACAAATGGTCAATTAAGTATACGAAAAGATGCTCAACAGCATTAGTCATTAAGGAAATACAAACCAGAACCACAATTAGAAACCACTTCACATCCACTAGGATGGCTACAATCGAAAAGACAGATTATGTCAAGTGTTGACCAAGGATCTGAAGAAATTGGGGCCCTTATACATTGCTGCAGGAATATAAAATGGTACAGCCACTTTGGCAAAAAGTCTGGCAATTCCTCAAAAGGCTAAACATAAATTTACCATAGACTCAGCAATTCTACTACCAAATATATACCCAAGAGAAATGAAAACCTATGGCACACAAAAACTTACACATGAACATTCATAGCAGCATTACTTGTAACTGCCAAACAGTGGAAACCCAAATTTCCACCAACTCTTAAATGGATAAACAAAATATGATATATCCATTCAATGAAATATTATTTGGCAATAAAAAGGAATGAAGATACTGGTACAACTTGAATAATTCTTGAAAATATTACACTAAGGGGCGCCTGGGTGGCTCAGTTGGTTAAGCATCCGACTTCGGCTCAGGTCACAATCTCACTGTCTGTGACTTTGAGCCCCACGTTGGGCTCTGTGCTGACTGCTCAGAGCCTGGAGCCTGTTTCAGATTCTGTGTCTCCCTCTCTCTCTGACCCTCCCCCGTTCATGCCCTGTCTCTGTCTCATGCTCTGTCTCATGCTCTGTCTCAAAAATAAATAAACGTTAAAAAAAAATTAAAAAAAAAAAAAGAAAGAAAATATTACACTAAGTGAAGGAAGCCAGTCACAAAAGCCCACATATTCTATGATTCAATTTATATGTCCAGAATAGGCAAGTCCAGAGACAGAAAATAGATTAGTGATTGCCTACAGTTGGGAGGGGGGTGTGATTGCTAAAGGGCATAGGGTTTCTTTGGGGGTGATAAAAATGTTCTAAAATTGATTGTGGTGATGGTTGCACAACTGTGAATATATTTAAAATAACTGAATTGTATACTTTGGTTGTTTTTCTTTTAATGTTTATTCATTTATTTTGAGGGGTGGGAAGAGGGGAAGCAAGACAGGAAGAGAGGCCCAAGGAGACTCTGTGCTAACAGCGCAGAGCTTGATATGGGGCTCAATCCTATGAATCGAACCATAAGATCATGACCTGAGCCAAAATCAAGAGTTGGATATTTAACCAACTGAGCCACCCAGGCACCTCTCTTCAGTCAAGCTTTTAAGATGAGTTAGGTATTGGGGCACCTGGGTGGCTCAGTCGGTTGGGCAAAAAACACTAAATTTTAGCTCAGATCATGATCTCAAGTTCATGAGATCAAGCCCAACATCAGGCTCTATGAGCCAGCTTGGAATTCTCTCTCCCTCTCTCTCTGCCCCTCCCCCTGCACATACTCTCTCTCTCTCTTTCTCTCAAAATAAATAAACAAACTTTAAAAAAAAGAAAAAAAAAGAGTTAGGTATTCATAATGTCTCCAGATCCTTATTTCCCACCTAAACGTCAATATACTGCAATCGGGCTGAAATATATTAAATGTACTGTTTTTTTTAAGTTTATCTATTTATTTTGAGAGAGAGAGAAAGAGGGGGGTACAGAAGGGGCAGAGGGGATGGGGGAGAGAGAGAATTTCAAACAGGCTCCACACTGGCAGTGCAGAGCCTGACATGGGGCTCGAACCCACGAACCGTGAGATCATGACCTGAGACAAAACCAAGAGTTGGATGCTTAACCAACTGAGCCACTCAGGCACCCCTACTAAATTGACTATCAATAAAACAAATGGCCTCCTAAATACAAAATCCAGCGGACAATTCAGTCATCATCTATGGACACTTGACACTGAATAGCTCAAGCAATCTCTCTCATGGAAGTATTCTCCTAAAGCTGATTTCCAAAATTCCACATTCCTGACTCTCCATTCACCTTCCTGAAAAGTTTTTCTCACACTATAGATTTAAAGGGGTATGTGCACCCCACCAATGTTTACAGCAGCATTATCAACAATAGCTATCAAACTATGGAGAGAGCCCAAATGTCTATCAACTGATAAATGGATAAAAAAGATATGGCATATATATAATGGAACATTACTTAACCATCAAAAAAAAAAAAGAAATCTTGTCATGTGTAACATCTTGGATGGAGCTAGACAGAATGTATTATGCTAAGTAAAATAAATCAATCAGAGAATGACAAATATATGATTCCACTCATATGTGGAATTTAAAAAGCAAAACAGATGAACATATGAGGGAGGGAGGAGAAGAAAGGGAAACACACCACAAGAGACTTAACGAGAGAGAACTGAGGGTTGATGGAGGGAGTTGCATAGGAGACGGGCTGGATGCGTGAGGAGGATTAAGTGGGGCACTTGTGATGAGTAATGGGTATTGTATGTAAGTAATGAATCACTGAATTCTACTTCTGAAACCAATACTGCACTGCATATTAACTAACTAAAATAGGGGTGCCTGGGTGGTTCAGTAGGTTAATTGTCCAACTTCGGCTCAGGTCATGATCTCATGGTTCATAGGTTCGAGCCCCAGGTCAGGCTCTGTGCTAACAGCTCAGAACCTGGAGCACGCTTCGGATTTTGTGTATTCCTCTCTCTCTGCCCCTCTTCCACTTGTGCTCACTCTCTCTAAATTAAACATTAAAAAAATTTAATTAACTAGGGGTGCCTGGGTGGTTCAGTCGGTTAAGCATTCAACTTCGGCTCAGATTATGATCTCACAGTTTGAGTTCGAGTCCCACGTCGGGCTCTGTGCTGACAGCTGAGAGCCTGGAACCTGCTTTGGATTCTGTGTCTCCTCCTCTCTCTGACCCTCCCCTGCTCATGCTCTGTCTCTCAATAATAAATAAAAGTTAAAAAATATTTTTAAAAAATTTAATTAACTAAAATATAAAAAATTAAAAAAAAATACATAAATGTTTTGGGATGCCTGGGTGGCTCAGTCAGTTAAGCATCTGACTTCAGCTCAGATCATGATCTCACAGTTTGTGAGTTCAAGCCCGTGTTGGGCTCTGTGCTGACAGCTCAGAGCCCTGGAGCCAGCTTCTGATTCTGTGTCTCCCTTTCTCTCTCTACTCCTTCACCTTTCACGCTCTATCTCTCTCTCTTTCTCTTTCAAAAATAAACAAACGTTAAAAAAAAAAAAATGTTTTTCTCAGTCTTTTTTTGAGGGCCCTCTTCCTCAGCCAAATCCTTATGTGATGGTGTGCATTAAGGAACACCATTCCCCATCCTTTTCTTTTTTAATATTTAATATTTCTGATTAACCTCCTCCATGTCCATGGATTTAATTTCCATCTTTCAAAGGACAACTCTAAAATCTATACCTCCATGCATACTGTCATGGTGGTTCTCTCAGATTCCCAGTATTCTTGTCTATGTCTCTATTAAAATGGCTATCAGGGGCACCTGGGTGGCGCAGTCGGTTAAGCGTCTGACTTCAGCCAGGTCACGATCTCGCGGTCCGTGGGTTCGTGCCCCGCGTCAGGCTCTGGGCTGATGGCTCGGAGCCTGGAGCCTGTTTCCAATTCTGTGTCTCCCTCTCTCTCTGCCCCTCCCCCGTTCATGCTCTGTCTCTGTCCCAAAAATAAATAAAAAACGTTGGAAAAAAATAAAATAAAATAAAATAAAATGGCTATCATATGGTATTCTAATTATCAGCATGCCTTATTCCCATCAGAATGTCAGTGTCCTGAAATCAGTGTGACATGCAGGGTAGATGCACAATAAATATGCATGTAAATTGTTGAATGATTCTTTAATTTCCTGGATCCTGTGAGATAATCTGCAATATATCCTACAAATAGATTGTAAAATTAATTCCAGATATATAATCCATTAATTTCTCACCTTGTATCTTCTTTGTGTCTTCACTTTCCATGTTTGTCTGTATTCTTTTTCCTTATATTTCATCTATAAGATAAAGATATTTTCTCAATTTAAATCAATGTTTGAGAATTCCAGAATTATAAATGCAAAAGTGTAGGGAAAAAACAATTTTCCTGAAGACAGAAGAGCAGGGACTGAATCTACAACTTATTAAATATGTGATACTGGGTGTGCTTAAGTTCCCTAAGGCTCAGTTTCCTCTTCTGTAAAATAGGAAATCCCTACTTCATAAAGTTGTTACAAGAATTAAATTTGAAAAATACATAAATGCATATGGCATTCTTAAGTATTACAGGCCTTCAACATAGTTTATTAAGTAAATATACACATTTGGTTGACTGAATCTAAATGACCCTCTTGTGGTTCTGCTTCCTTATTTTCTTTTCTTTCCTGTAAGTTTTCATCCCATCATTTCTGATTGGTCACTCCATGAAATGGAAATTTAAAACACACACACACACACACACACACACACACACACACTTTAGAACTGCATTTCTCTACACAAGCTAAGCTTAATACTAAAATTTTGTTTTTCAACAATCCATGGTTTTTTTTTTAATTTTTTTTCAATATATGAAATTTATTGTCAAATTGGTTTCCATACAACACCCAGTGCTCACCCCAAAAGGTGCCCTCCTCAATACCCATCACCCACCCTCCTCTCCCTCCCACCCCCCATCAACCCTCAGTTTGTTCTCAGAATCCATGGTTTTTTCAACATAGTATTCCACTATTAAGCTAAAATCCTTGTTTATATACCACTTGTTAGAATTTTTAAAATAACTGGGAACCCTGATATGGCATTTCACATGCTAAACTGATTTTTTAGAAAAACTATCAGAGTCCAATTAACTTCTTAAAGCAATGAATCAGGACTCACAGAACTCTAGAATTCTTTTTTTTTTTTTAATTTTTTTTTCAACGTTTATTTATTTTTGGGACAGAGAGAGACAGAGTATGAACGGGGGAGGGGCAGAGAGAGAGGGAGACACAGAATCGGAAACAGGCTCCAGGCTCTGAGCCATCAGCCCAGAGCCTGACGCGGGGCTCGAACTCACAGACCACGAGATCGTGACCTGGCTGAAGTCGGACGCTTAACTGACTGCGCCACCCAGGCGCCCCTAGAATTCTTTTTCATTCCAACACTACATGGTTAAAAGGAGACAGCTACTGGGGCACCTGGGTGGCTCAGTTGGTTGAGCACCCAACTTTGGCTCAGGTCATGATCTCGCAGTCAGTGAATATGAACCCCAAGTCCGGCTCTGTGCTGACAGCTCAGAGCCTGGAGCCTGCTTCAGATTCTGTGTCTCCTTCTCTCTCTCTCTGCCCCTCCCCAACTCATGCTCTCTTTCTGTCTCTCACAAATAAACATTAAAAAAAAAACAAACTAGGGGCGCCTGGGTGGCTCAGTCAGTTAAGCGGCCGACTTTGGCTCAGGTCATGATCTCGCGGTCCGTGAGTTTGAGTCCCGCGTCAGGCTCTGTGCTGACAGCTCAGAGCCTGGAGCCTGTTTCGGATTCTATGTCTCCCTCTCTCTGACCCTCCCCCCTTCATGCTCTGTCTCTCTCTGTCTCAAAAATAAATAAACGTTAAAAAAAAATTTTTTAAAGAAAATGTAGATTTAAAACAACAACAACAAAAAACTAAAAATAAGAGATAGCTACTTATCCTTTCTATTTTTTTCTCACTCTCAAAATGAAAATAAAATTCCCAAATAAAAAAATTAACAGTAAATGTGAGAATCTTTTATAAAATAATATATAAATGTATACCAGGTTTGCCATTTTTTTAAACCTAAATATTCCATTAAAAGAAGGATGCTTGGGTACATTATAGTATATTTACAGGATACTGTTACAAGAATACTGATGTTTACTTGACATGTTTAATAACAAGGAAAAATGCTTATGTTACAATTAATCAACAATGGCAAGACTCAAGCTTTTATCTACAGCATGATCCCAATTATGCAGAGGAAATCATAAAATAAAACTACATGGAAAACAACATGTTAACACTTGTTTTAAGCTGGTGGTTCTATGGTGTCTTATCCCACTTTTTTCTATTTTTCACAATTTTTATAATAATAAAAGCTTCTAACATTCAAGTCCTATAATAGGCCAGGCTATATTATGTAAACCTTACAAATATTATCCTTCTAGTTTTTACAACAACCCTAAGAGGGAGTTATAAAGATGAAGACTGACAAGGAGAGCATAAACAATTTGCCCAAACAAACAGCTAGTGAGTGCCAGAGCTGGAATGAGCACCAAGAAAATCTGAGGCCATGCCCTACACTCTTATCCTCTACCACACCTTCTTCCATATGTAAACATGCATTACCTTTGAGAAAATGGGTTAGGATTTGGGATAGGAAGAGTAAATTAAAAAAAAAAAAAAAACTTAAAAAAAATGGACTATGGACTACATGTATCACATGTGGAAGTTTTTTTGCTTTGTAAAGGAGTATAAGGACTATTTCTTTAGTTTTAGTCAACCTATTCTGCCTTTAAATATAATTTTATTTTTACAAAGCTTTAAAAACTAAATGTATTGAAATTGAAACTGACAGAACACATTACCTTCTATTCCCCTTTGTCTTTCTTATACTGTTTTCTAATAAATGACACAATAAAATGGAACTTTCCAGGGGCTCCTGGGTGGCTCAGTTGGTTAAGCATCCCACTTCAGTCATGATCTCATGTCTCATGAGTTCAAGACCCACATTGAGGCCTGTGCTGACAGCTTGGAGCCTGGGGCCTGCTTCAGATTCTGTGTCTACCTCTCTCTCTCTCTCTCTCCCCGTTCCCTGCTCGTGCTCTGTCTCTCTCTCTCTCAAAAAAAAAAAAAAAAAAATTAAAAATTTTTTTTGAAAAAAAAAAATTAAAGTTTTCCAAGTACCCAGTAGCATTAATACAAGTCATTTATTTACTAGCTAAGTGCTTAGAAACATCAACAGCAAAGGGCAAGTTATAACTTTCAAGGGATAATTATAAAACTATATTTTAAATTATGAAATATAGACTATTCCCCAAAACAAAAGCATCTGTTCAATAAAACAGTGTTTTCAGTAATTTAGTGAAGATGCAAATTGTGAGAAGCAAGATTGCAAAATTATTTGCTGTATTCTCACAAAGGGAAAAAAAGGATTTTTCCAGGTAACAGAAGAAACTATTCCATTTACAGGTTTAACTCAATGTACTCCCCAAAACAGTGCTGTTAAATTCAAATTTAAGCAAGAAAACTAGCTGAACGTTACTCTTTTACTTGGCATAGAAAATGTTAACATGAAAAGCTTTTTTGAAATTTAAGTACTACCCCAAAATATCAGAACGATAAATGAAATCTTTCTGTATAAGGCTGGCAGGCTGAAAATCCCACCACTAAATGCCATCACTAAGTTCTTGACAGTGGATGCCCAGCTTGGACTCACGCACAGTGGAAATTTTCCTGAAACTAGGGGAAACAAGGGGAAAAGGGCCAATAGGCAAAAAAAATTGCTGTTACAGTTTAGCTTGAGAAATAAGAGGTGCAGAAAACAAGCTGAGTGAGGGTACGAGGAGCTCGCTCTGCATTCACATTCCCAGACTCAGTAGACTGGAGCAGCCGTTCGTTATGCATTAAAACTCATCACTTCTTCCCAGTTTGCACAGGAAGGCGATGCCCGATCTTTCCAAGTAGGAAAGGCTACCCGCACCCCCTTTTCCCAGTTTGCACTCATTAACACCAAGGCCTGGCTCACCTAAAGAGCTGGGAGAACTCCTTTCGAAGAGCAGTGGTCTTCCCCAGGCTCGTGTTAGGCCAGGACTCTGCAACTCCTGCCAGGGACCGGGTACCGGTTAAGGGCGTGAGTCCCGCCCCGCCACCCACGACTCCTGAGCAGCGGGCGCGCCACTCAAGTGCTGTGGCCCACGCAGTCCGGCCCACGGTCTGAGAAAGGGCCTCACCAGTGGTTCCCACCCCTCCGGTACACCAGAATCATCTGGCGAGAGGCCTGTGGATTCTCAAGTACAATCAGGGTCGGAAACTGCCGGGCTCCAGAGGCCTGACCAAATGGTACGTGGCAATTCTCTTTTTCCCATGAGCTGCTGTGGGGGCTGCGGCCGGGGTCGGCCGCTTCCTGAGGAAGGCCCCTTCCGGCCAGTTCAATCCCCTCAACGGGTTAGGAAGGGAATAGGGAGGCATCCCTCATCCCAGCCGCTGTGAGGGCCGACCGGAGCCTACTGGCTGCAGTCTACCTTCCACAGGAGACCACTGACAGATTCCGGGGCGGGGGCAGGGCAGGGCCCGCACGCGCGGGGAGTGGAAGCCGTGACCTTTACCGTCAAGTCGCGGTGTGCCGTTTCCGTGCTTCCTCCCTCGAAGCCCGCCTACAAACAAGACGCTCCACTCCGTTTCCCGCCCAGCAGGCCAGGCATACTTCCGCTGGGCGGAACTGGGACTTCCGGCTGCTCTCGCCTGCCCACACGCGGTATCTCCCCACAGACAGACGCTCCCCGATGTCCCCAGGGCGGGTCATGGGTAGCAAGAGTACGAATGCAGTGTCCACGAGTGGTGGAAAGTCACAACGTGGAGGGGAAATCTTCTGAGCTCATCGCTCCGGGTTTTTAGGGCTTTTCTTTGCTCAGAGGGGCTTTTGCCACAAGGAGTTAGGAGAGCCGGCTCCAGGTCCATGAGACCAGGTCAGAGACTGTGGCAGCAGGGCACAGCATGGGTTAAGGGGCCCTCCGAGCCCCAAGCCTGGCCCTCAGTCCTCTCTCCCAATCTTCGTGTCTTTGTTTTCTGATAAAACTGTACATCTGAAATATTTGCCTTTTCTGGTAGTCATGGTTGGAAGATGTCCTTTGCTAAAATCTACACATGGGATAAATTCATTATTTAATTAAGACTGTAAGAAAAAATACACTTAAAGCTGTTTCTAATGAAACACAAGAGATTTTTATAAGTAACTAATTACCAAGCCAGAAATAATGAACTCAATTAGAAATGGGTAACTTTTATTCTCCCAGAAAATGACTGCTTCCTTTCCCCTCCCCCACAGAGAACAAGACAACATTATTACAAATGAGAACAATGTTTATTAAGGAAACAATTTAACACTTCTCCCTCAGCAGAATTTTACAGACTAGAGCACAACCTGAAGGCCATTACAGTTTAAATCACTGACACACGACATAGGGTGCTTATTCTACAACTGGAAAGTTGCTGAAGTTTGTGACATGCCACTATAGATGTAAGTATTATTAAAAATTACAAACTGTTTGGTGATTATTTTGATAACCTCCTGAGCAGCAGCTCCTGCAAGGAAAAAGGAGAAGAGCAAATCTTTGAAAAAGGTAAATTTCAAGTTATATAAAAATATTCAATTATGTAAAGAAAACCTTTCTGTTCCAAAAAGAAAGGTGTTTAAAAATAAGCCAAACAGGAGCGCCTGGGTGGCTCAGTCGGTTAAGCGTCCGACTTCGGCTCAGGTCATGATCTCGCGGTCTGTGGGTTCGTGCCCCGCGTCGGGCTCTGTGCTGACAGCTCAGAGCCTGGAGCCTGTTTCAGATTCTGTGTCTCCCTCTTCCTCTGACCCTCCCCTGTTCATGCTCTCTCTCTTTCTGTCTCAAAAATAAATAAATGTTAAAAAAAAAATTAAAAAATAAGCCAAAACAAAGCTTACTAAGTCACATCAAAATCAAGGACTACAATTTTTTGTAACTATGTTATTAAAGGAAATAAAAATCTGTCCTATACATTCACACGTTGGGATATTATGCCACAGATTAAAAGAATGAATTATTTTTAATTGTGGTGGCAAGATATACTACGTAAAAAAGTCAAAACAGTAGTATGGTTGATTGTACTTTTTAAAAAAATACATATAGACAGAAAAGATTCTCAAAGACCACCCAGACCACCCTTCTGTTGCATTTGAATTTTACCTTGTGCATATTTTACTTTTATAATAAAATAGGGGTAAAGGTATATTTGTTCTAAATACATCTATAATTTGGAAACGATCCACATTAAATACTGCCAGGTTGCCATATTATACTCAGTAATAGACTTATACAGTAGTGAGTTTTGAGCAATTACTCAAAGAAAACAATAGAAAAAACAAAAAACTACCAACAAAAAAAATTCTTCATCTTTTATAATATTCACATTCATTGATTCAATAAAATATGAGACTCTATTACATACCAAATCCTCTTCTAGGCGCTAGGAATAAAGAACAAAAGACAAAAACCCTTGCCTTCATGGATCTTACTTTTAACTAGTAAGGGAAAGATAATTTGCAAATTAGTAAAATGTATACAAACGTATAGAAATGACCCTAAGGACTAAGGCGAAAAAGCAAGGAAGAGGGATACATATGAGTGGAAGAACAGGGACTCAGTTTTAAATTGAGGAGTCAGGAATGGCCTCATGCAACTAAAGTAACATTTAAACAAAGACCTGAAAGAAGTGAGGAATATAATGGTGTTGTGCAGAATACAAAACACACATGTTAGGGACTGAATGTCCTCAAAATTCATGTTAAACCTGTAATACCCAATGTGATAATATTTGGAGGTGAAGAGGATACTGGAGGTCTTTGGGAAGTAAACAGGGTTAGATGAGGTCATGGGCTGGGGTCCTCACAAAGGGTTTAGTGCCCATATAAGAAGAGACCCCCAAGAGCTGTGTCCCATCTGTCCTCTCCCCTCCCTGCACAAAAAGGTTATGGCACACAGCAAGATGATAGCAGCCTACAAGCCCTGGACAGGCTTCCTAGAAACCAACCGTGCTGGCCCTGACCTCGGACTTCCAGCTTCCAAAGTTTTTTGGTGGAGAGAGGAAGAGAAAGAACCCCCACCAGGCTCCTTGCTGTCAGCACAGAGCCTGATGCAGGGCTTGAACCCACAAACTGTAAGATCATGACTAGAGCCAAAACCAAGAGTCAGACACTTAACTGACTGAGCCACCCAGGCACTCTTCAACTTCCAAAGTTTTTATGAAAGAGTGGTAATTTTCATTTAAAAAGTATTTATTTATTTGAGAGAGAGAGAGAGAGAGAGAGATAAAGTGGGGAAGGGGCAGGGAAAGAGAGAATCCCAAGCCGACTCCACTGTCAGCTCAGAGCCCGATGCAGGGCTCGAACCCACGAATCGTGAGATCATGACCTGAGCCAAAACCAAGAGTTGGATGCTTAACCAACTGAACCACCCAGGTGCCCCAGAGATGGTAATTTTCAGTTGGGCCTTGAAGAACAGCAAGATTTTAGACATGCCAGAAATAAGGAGATTTAAGGCAAATGGCCCTGAAAGTTAAGGATTGAAGGAACAGGAAATCAAAGGCATGTCTGGGGGAAAAGGAAGTCACTTGAAAAAACCAAGGGCAGAAAGGCTGAGTGGAATCAGAACACAGTGTATTTTTAATGTTAAATAAGGGACTCTGGACTTGTTTTCTGAAGACCATTGTAGTATGTATGTGTTTACTGGCAGGGCAGAAGGTTAATTGAAAGACATGATCAGAGCTATGCTTTAGAAAAATTAATGACTCTTCACTTTAAGATGGACAGCGGTGGGAGAGATGCAAAGCAGAAAGACCAGTGAAATAAACTAAACAGAACATCCTGCTTCACTGACTTCCCTAGTTAAAATAGCTATAAAAACAAAGTTCATAATTGTACTGTGTAACCACAGATGCCAGTCTTCTCATCTGTGGAACTCACCTCCTAAGAACGCAGCAATGGTGTGTGGCTCAGCAGCTCCATATCGGCAACTACAGAAAAGGATGGAGACATGAACTTAGATTAGCCTTATGACAGGACAGGTATTATCTCTCATCTGCCTTAAAAAATACTCACAATTCATGGACATAATCATCTTTCACCATTACAGATAATCCATATTCCTGAAGGAAGCCAGTGAGACAAGACTTCAGCTTTCCTATATCTTCTTCAACCTGGTAGTTAGATACCCCTACAAATACATAATGTAAATCAATTTTCATTAAAGTAAATATGCAATTCAAAACCAATGGCTCTTTTTAAAATCCAGTTTGAGGTGTTCTTTTTTTTTTTTTAATTTTTTTTTTCTCAACGTTTTTTTATTTATTTTTGGGACAGAGAGAGACAGAGCATGAACGGGGGAGGGGCAGAGAGAGAGGGAGACACAGAATCGGAAACAGGCTCCCGGCTCTGAGCCATCAGCCCAGAGCCTGATGCGGGGCTCGAACTCACGGACCGCGAGATCGTGACCTGGCTGAAGTCGGACGCTTAACCGACTACGCCACCCAGGCGCCCCTAAAATCCAGTTTGAGGTGTTCTAATCAATATAGTAAGGTATGAAACTGAAGAACAAAAATAACAGAAAGCATGAGACCAGTATTTACTATCACAAAGCTGTAACAATCAAAGAAACCATCTAAAACCTATTAAAAATTCAAGTTAGGCAAATCTGCTTTGTTTACTGCTCTATATCCAGTATCTAGAAGAGTATCCAGCACATAGTTGGTGTCCAAGAATTATTTGATGGAAGAATTGAATGAATAAGTAAGTAATGTCTTATTTACACACTTTATAAAAAATTAGGGTGTTTAAAAAATATTATGGTGTTTATTATCCATTTCCAGGAAATTAAATGACACTGAAGACATATAGCTATAATAATAAGTAACATTTATTGAATTAACAAATGCTGGACAGTGTTCTAAGTACCATTTATATTAATTGATTTAATCCTTACAACACTCCTATGAAATAGGTACTATCATTATCCCTGTTTATAGGTGAGAAAACTGAGGCACAGACAGATTAAGTTATTTGCCTGAGTTACTTAGCTCGTAAATAGCAAAACTGGGATATGAGCCCAGGAAGTTCTTAATGATTAAACTGTAATGTTTCCAAACATTATTATTTCCAAGCTATTATTATTTCTTCTGGAAGGAAAAATATAATTGCTGTAATATTCAAGTGTTTTTAAAATATCAATATTTTGGGGGGTGCCTGGATAACTTAGTCAGTTGAACGTTTTAACTTCGGCTCAGGTCATGATCTCATGGCTCATGGGTTCAAGCCCTGAGTTAGGCTCTGTGCTGGCAGCGAAGAGCCTGGAGCCTGCTTTGGATTCTGTCTCCATCTCTCTCTGCCCCTCCCCTGCTCACACTCTACTTCTCTCTCAAAAATAAACATTAAAAAAAATTTTAAATATCAGTATTTTTTGGCTCCTCTAGTTTAAAAACTATCACTACTCTTCCTCATGATAACACCAACCCTTTACTAAATACTTACAAGGTGCCACATAATATTAAGTGATTTTCATACATTACCTATATAACCTTTACAAACTGGTAAATACTATTATCATTATTCCATAAATGAGAGAACTGAGATTTGGAGGGAAATAGTGATTCACCAAGGTCAAGAGACAGTAAGTGACAGAGCTTGGAAGCCTGTGCTTTATGTGGTAGCTAGTCTCCCAAGATGGCTCCCCAATGAACGCTCCTTTGTGCCCTCATGTAGTCCCATCCCACTGTTAATCTAAACTGGCCCTGTGAAGCCAACAGAACATGATGTAAGTGATGCCGTGTTCTAAGGCTTCTGAGGCTAACTCCTAAAATACTTTGTACTTTCCACCTGGATCTTTTGGAATGTTAACTTTGGGGAAGCAAGCCACCATGTAAACAGTCTGCCCTAGGAATACTATGCTAAAAGGAATCCCCAGTTAGCCATGGAGAGATACCTGACTAGCCCCCAAGCAGTTCCAACTATCCCAACTAAAGTGCCAGTCAATGAGTGAAAATGTCATCTTGGATGTCCAGCTCAGTGAAACCTTCAGAATGACTCCAGCCCCAGGCATCATGCAACTCCATGAGTTCCCCTCTCCCCAGTGAGAACTGCCTAACTGAGCCCAGCCAATCCACAAAATCACAAGATAATAATTTACTGTTTTAACTATGTTTGGGGATGATTTGTTATGCAATAAACCAAAAATACAAGCTAATCAAACAATACACATAAAGTAATACATATTCGGTGTTTATTCCTTTTCTTTCTTTTGGTAAGCTTGCTCATTAAGACTGTAACTCAGACATTTGGGGCAACAGATTTTATGATATTCCTAGAATGTGCTGCTATGCAGTAAACTGGCACAATTAAAATTTTCATCTTTTTGTTTTTAATTTTTATTTATTTTCAGAGAAAGCCTGTGAGCAAGAGCAGAGAAGGGGCAGAGAGAGGGAGAGAGAGAATCTCAAGCAGGCCCCGTGCTGTTAACTCAGGGCCCAACATGGGACTTGATCTCAAGAACCTTGAGATCATGACCTGAGCCAAAATCAAGAGTCTAATGTTCAACTGACTGAGCCACCCAGGTGCCCTTATCATCTTTTTTCTTTGAAGTTTATTTATTTATTTACAGAGAGAGTGTACGTGGCCTTATCATCTGAAGGTGCCCTTATCATCTTTTTTCTTTAAAGTTTATTTATTTATTTACAGAGAGAGTGTATGTGGAGGAGGGACCACGGCGGGGGGGGGGGGGGGGGG